TAGATTTTGAGATGACCCACCTAGGGAGAATCTGGGCTGCAGAGGAGAAACTTACCCACCTAGGTGAAGGAGACAATTGTTGCTTTTCACAATGGCATGCTCCAAAAGTGAGGACACAGGGTGATGATAGATAGCCTTCTAGACCTGCCTGAGGCTTACTTTCAGATGTACTTTCCAGAAAAAGAAAGACAGTGGCAGGAAAGCAGACCTGTCCCTTTGGGAGAACACCCTCCAAAGGGAGAGGATAATCATGAACTCATTCCTTTGTCTAGGCTCAACTAAGATGCTCACCTCAACCTGAGAAGTCAGTGAAGGGATTTCCCAGTGTTGGACAGTTGAGCAGATTTTCCAGGAACATGAGAACAGGAGTATAGGTCATTGAAGGGAATGGCTCCAAAACCATTATTATCCCTGTGAACAAGTTTTCATCCCACACTTCTAGTAATGGGCCGAATGACATCTCCTCTGGCCAGAGTCCAAAATCACTTTTCCTTATTCTCAGTGTGACTTAGGATAAATTGCCACCACATTAGACTCCTGTTCCTTTTCCCCTTCAACAGAAAACCACATTGTCCTGAGTGATAAGCAGCTTCATGTATCTGTTCAACACCTTCAATTGATGGCAAACTGTGGCCCCAGGGTCAAATCTGACCCTCCACCAGTTTTTGTACGTAAAGTTTGCCTGGAACACAGTCATGTCCATTTGTGTAAATATTGTCTTTGGTTACTATCACACTACTGTAGTAGATCTGAGTAGTTTCAACACGCACCATATGGCCTGCAAAGCCTAAAATAGGTATTGGGCCCTTTACAAAAAGTTTGTCAACCCCTAACATAGAGGAAAGCACTTTAGTCATTATTTACTCCACTGGTACTTAAGAAACAGGTAGGTAGCCAGAGTTTCTAAACCAGCTACGAGAAAATGAAAGCAAATGAAGTACTTTACTGAAATCTCACTATTGGAAACAAAATGAGGCCAGTGTAGATGAGAAAAAATTGGATAATAGATTGTTCTCATATGCCTTTTTTCTTGAATCCAAATGCATATAAATTCAAGCTGTTTGAAACAGATTATTTCTAAGAGGCCCTGCCTTCTTGGGTTGATTTTGCTAAACTCCAAAACCAGGGTTGAGCTGCTTGCATTTGCAAGAATGCCCTGCAACCCTGCAACACGTTGTGAAAGTCCAGGGAGAAGTGTGCAAACACCCACATTGTGATGCAGATGGCTGGGGAAGGAATGGGTCTGGTTGAATCAGAGAAAGAAGCCAAGATGGTATCAAAAAGTAATTAACACCAACCAGCTCTCCACAGGTGGGCGCACTTTTAAAAGTTCTCTTATTAGACAAATAATTCGTCCCCGTGTCATTAATAAGAGCTAATGCCTTAAAAAACCCTTTGTAAAGAAGGAACATCATACTGTTGCAGCTTATAAATTTATATTGTATGTCCAAATGCTTCTACAGCCTTCTCCCAAAAAAGTGTCTTGTGTTGGTTGTGTGGGCTCTTTTGTTTATGTTGTTATTGCTATTGTTGCTTTGAGGGTTTTGTTTTTTTTTTTAAGATTTTATTTATTTATTTGACACAGAGAGAGCATACACGGGTGAAGCAGCAAGCAGAGGGAGAAGGAGAAGCAGACTCCCCACTGAACGGGGAGCCCGATGCGGGGCTCGATCCCAGGACCCTGAGATCATAACCTGAGCTGAAGGCAGACGCTTCACCAACTGAGCCACCCAGGTGCCCCTGTTGTTGTTTTTAACTCAGTAAAGATAGCTGGAAAATTGGTGAGCTTTCATTCAGCTGGTCCAAACCTAACCTCAGTATTTAACCAAATTGCCTCTCAACTGGCCGAGGTATTTTATTATAATTAATCTATCTATAAATAATAATATTTATTATAACTAGACTTTAATTCATACTCTCAGAAGTCCATTTGTTAGGAAGGGACCCCTGTCTCTGAGCCTTTTGCATTTTCTCAGTAATATATTTTTTGCAGGTGATTGAATGTCTTTGGCATAAAAAAAAAAGAAAGAAACCTGCCTCTGATTGGACCTGAGTGATGGGTAAATGGGGGACAGGGAGTCACTTTCTTATTGTTTTTTTGTGTATGTTTGAAAATGTTTGTAATGAGGGGCACCTGGCTGACTCAGTTGATGGAGTGGACTCTTGATCTTGGGGTTGTTAGAGCCTCATGTTGGGCATGGAGATTACTTAAAAATAGTATCTTAAAAAATGTTCATAATGAAAGTTTTTTAAAGTGATTTTTGGATATAAATGGTTCTATAATGCGTGGATAGACCCCTCACATCCCCTTGGGCTCCGCAAACCAGAGGTCATCATTTTCACTAGCAGTCCTTGCTGGGGTGGCAACAGTGCTTGTAAACTGAAGGCATTGAGAATTGAGAAGAGAGAAGTAAACATTGCTTCCTAATCCCTCATAGTGGAGCATCCCTTTGAAAGAAACAGCCAAAATATTCAGATTAAAATAAGAAAACAGGGCAGCCCGGGTGGCTCAGTGGTTTAGCGCTGCCTTCAGTCCAGGGCTTGATCCTCAAGACCCAGGATCAAGTCCCATGTCCCGGCTCCCTGCATGGAGCCTGCTTCTCCCTCTGCCTGTGTCTCTGCCTCTCTCTCTGTCTCTCATGAATAAATAAATAGAATCTTTAAAGAAAAAAAATAATAAAACATTTTTGGGCAGAAATTATATGCTAGTTTCCTTGCATATATATCTCTTCAAAAGAAAGTTACTTACTTATGTAATAAGCTCTTATCAATCAGCTGCTCCTCATTCAGTAACTACATTTATGAAACTCTTGTAGTCAAAGCCCCATGCTAGACAAGGAGACACCATTTGCTTTTGGCAAACCAGACAAAGAGTAAAATAGGTAACACCTGGTCTCTGAAACATAACACTACCCAGAGTCTTGGACCTATACTTCAGGGACCAGAAATCAGCTTAGCTCAGCTCACTTCAGGCCCAAAGCCATTAATAGGACACCAACTCTGTTTAAGGTTCCTAGCTAGATACTAAAAATATGGAGGAAATAAATGAGGCAGAGTTCCCACCCTTGGTCAACTGCAGAAGATGACGTGACAAAATCAACTCTTGAGTAGTGGAATGCGCAGGTTCTAAGAGGTCACAGAGACTCCATGAGTTAGATCATGAAAGATGGTAGGACTAGCAGGTGAGAAAGAAGGGAAGAAGTGAGAGTGACAAAATACTCTGGGTATGTATCAGGAATTTTTTGACAATACAATAGTATAAAATTACCACTAGACTATGAACTCCAGAGGGGATTTTGGTCTGGCATGTTCACAATGTCTGGCTCATAGTGGACGTTTATTAAGTATTTGCTAAATTAAATAAATGAATGAATCCAACTGTACAGTGTTGCTAACAGTCAAAGTTTCAGGTAGAGAACGACAGTGGGTTGTGGTCCTGCTGACAGGACAAAATCAAGGAATCCCTGAAAGGACCTGGGATTTTATAGTGGTGGAGAAGCACTGAAGAACTTTATAAAACCTAGATTTGTGTTTTGGAGCTTCAAGGGGAGGAAGGGAGCTTAGGGACTCAAGACTGGAGACAGACAAGTTGTAAGCTGTTGCTAAACAACAGGGAAAGTTGATGAGGTAAAATCCATGGAATTCGGTAACAAATTCAATGTCCCCTAAAGCCACCACAATGGCTAACATGAAAAAGAACCAAGAGTTGTCAAGCATATGGAGCACCCAGAACATTCATCCTCTGCTGGTGGAATATAAATTGATAAAAATCACTTTGGAAAACTGTTGGCCAAACCTGGTCATTCAGGTGGCCAAGCCCTGCCTATGTTCATGCCAGGGGTCCTCACCTGTGTACCCACCCAGTCTCAGAGGATTATGAAACGCCCTTCATGCCTATAGCCACCATCTAGCTGCCACCCAACTCTTAGAAAAGAAACACTTAGAAACACTTTGTAGATCCATTCTGACACCTTCCTCCCCAGCAGCCAATGCCACAAGAACTATTTGTAAGAGGAAATGAGTACAAACCAGGCAACCCAGATAAATCATGAAATTCTGCACCCACACTTAGGTAACCCTATTCTCAAGACTCAAAAGAGCTATTTGCTGTTATGGAAGTGGATTCGTGGGCGAGCAGGTAAGTGAAAGGGGATCAAGATGAAGTCACAAGTCTGGGGTATACTTTCAAGAAATAGAATGAACCATGATGCCCACAGGCAGCACCCAGATAGAATGCTGCTGCCTGGGGATGCAGAATCATTAGAATCTTGGATAGTTTCTTTTCTGCTATACACTGAGCCCTGAAGTTGTTCTAGAACTTTCCAACTCCTGGCACCATTTCTGGCCGTTGAAACCTTCCTCCTTGGAAACTCAGATCTTTAGCTAATCCCATCCTCAGTTTACTCATATTTTGCCTTCATACAATTGATACCGAAGTGATAATGCATGGTAAGAGTCTTAAACTTCCATATTTCATCAAACGTAAGATGCCCATTGACAGATGCACCATTATGTTACTACTGAAAAGTGTTCCAAATGAAGTATACCATCCACAGTGAAGTACATCCTGAGTCAGAGATGTGACAATTTGAAATGAAAATGTGCTTTTTAGAATCAATTGGTTATAATACTATTACCTGTGCAAGGGTCAGCGCATAGGAAATCACATCTCATTCGATTTCAGGAAATCATGTGTATGAATTAATAAGTCCTTAAGACCAATGTGTAAAGGCTCTGAAAGCTTCAATGATTGAGTTTTCTCATTTCTAACACATGTAGACCTCAGTTTATAAGACTACTGTGGAGAATTATATAAATCTGGCCAAAAAATTGAAACATCATGAATTTAGTGTGCTAAATATGTATTTATATCTTAAGTATTTTTCAGACAATGGAAATGAGTAGAGGCTAATTTAACAGGAACAAAACTCCTCCAAACTCTAACATCTTTGCAAATATTTGAACCAATAAATATTTCACCTTTGTGTATTTGTGAACAGATTTTTGAATTTTGTGGAGCTGATGCTCAAAAATTGGAAGCGAAGATTCAAGAACTAATGTAAGCCGATCTCCAAGATAAAATACATTTGCAACATTTTAAAAGGCCGCAGCTAATGTGTTTGTGTTTTTATTTGCAGCGAATATTGTAATGCTCGATTGGTCTTTCTCCTAACACTTTACAGTTGAATCCCACCTTGCAACCTCACTGCAAAACGGCTTAAAGCTCTTGCGATATCAGATAACGTATCTCTCCCGTTCTCTAACTTGGCCTTTCCACTAACTCGTGCACATTTCTTAGGCAACGTGACCTCCACAGCAGAGACCCTGCATAGCTAAGTAATACCACGCCATTAGGAAGGTTTTCCAGAGATTGCCAAAGATGGAATTCTTCACAGCGATCAAGAAACAAACAAATGCCCTATTGCCCTGGTGTACTCCAAATACAGAGGCCAATTCTAATTGAGCCATCATTTGTGGTACAAAATTCTTCTCTGATGCATCAGTTTGTATTAGAGCAGTGTCACTCTTCTCTTCCCCAATACCTTTCTAAAACTCTTTTATAGGGAGGCCTGAGTGGCTCAGTGGTTGAGCGATATTACCTTTGGCTCAGGTCGTGATCCCGGGGTCCTGGGATCCAGTCCTGCATCGGGCTCCCCGCAGGCAGCCTGCTTCTCCCTCTGCCTATGTCTCTGGCCCTCTTTCTCTGTGTCTCTCATGAATAAATAAATGAAATCTTAAAAAAATAATAAAAGTAAAATTCTTTTATAAGTTAAAAAAAAATCCACACACGCACAAAAGCTGGAAAGTCCTTTTACTACCTATGTTTTTGTTATTGTTAATTGAGACAGCTCAGACATTTAGGGCCCAGAGAAGACAGCTTCTCGCACTAACTATTCCCACATGGGGCTACCATCAGATGAACACTGGGGATCTGGGATCTGAAGCCTAGAGTGGAGCCAGTGTTCCCTAGCTATTAAATTAATAAGATTTTGACAGAATCTTAGAATTCTTTGCAACATACATAGAGTAGCAGAAGCCAACAGGTGCTAGCTTAAGAGAAAAGGGGCACCTTGTAATCATTCAGTAAATATTTCTTGAGCACCTACTCTGTGCCAAGCACTGTTATAGGCACCCAGAATAACACGTGGTTCATAGATTCCAGACAGAAATATAGCCAGCCTTCACATGGATCAGAAACAGGAAGAGGAGAGAGTTGGGGATCCCAGGGCTCTTCTGTGTATCTCTGTCCTCTGCTTCTCTGTTTTCATCTGAATCATCTTTCCATTGCTGTAGCTCATTCTTCTTTATTGCCCAGTCTTTGTTCTGGAATGTGGCTTCCCAGGGAAACAGTGACTGGAAAAGTATTATGAAAGCTGCAGGTCTCAAAGTCAAACAGACCAGGATGTGACGATTACAAGAGCATTTTGGTTCCAAAAAGATTTCTGTCCCTTTTTTTCATAAAGATCTTAAGTATTAGTGATGCTTTGCTTCTTTCTAGCCCAAACCCCCACCACCAGGGTGGGTGCAGGTGGGGGGACAGATGGAACTTTCATAGGGTGAAGAGGCCATGTGGACTATGCCCATGGCATCCAACTGCTTGTCTGCCTGGAGCCCACATCAAGTCTTTTCCACAAGCCTGTCCTAACCACAGGGGCAGGAATGGAAGGCTCTAGGGCCCTAATCTTTAAATCTTTGGGCCCCGATGTGCTGAGTGCATCAGGCAGGATAGAAGAAGAGGTACTCGACCCTGTACCAGAGTAAGAGCCCAGGGGACCTGAACCTGTCACTCCTCCCCCATTCCCAGACATGCCATTCTACCAAACCCAGGTCATCTCTGAGTGAGGCTGGGCCTGGCCGGTTGTGAGGACCAGAGCCTGGAGCTACTGGAAGGCCGGGCTGCTGGAAGGACAAAGGATATGGCCAGGAAGCTATTGGCCAGGCTGGGACCCCTGGAACCAGACCAGTACTGACACTAGTATGAGTGAGTAAATATGCCCATCACCTTGATCAAGGCCTTCACCCATCCCCAGGGCACAAGCTGCTGCAGGGAAGAGGCTGGGCAATCATTATGTGGCTGGTGACAACAGAAAGGTCCAGTTCTCTGCAACATGTGCAAGTTCGATGAATGAAAGTCAAGGACCACCCAGACACCAAAGCGAACTCACACTAGTCACTGGCTTCTGGAAAGGGCAGCCTGGAAAATGTCTGTAGAGATGAGGGCGGGGTGGAGAATGAGTTCCGTGCCCAGATGTGGATGGCATCATCCCAGCAGCCTCGGGCATTTTACATTGTGTAGCATCTTTGTACGTGTTGGAGCAGAGAGATGTGTCCTTCATTGTTACTTCGGGCCTGCCACCCATTTTCACAGCACAACAGGACACATGTCAGAGTTCAAGAGAATTCCCTGGAAACCAGTCTTCATTCCACTTTCAGCAGCCAACGTTCCAGTTGATTTCTCTTGCCCAGGAATGGATAGAGTGCCTGCTTTTATAATGTCCTTTCTATTTCGTTGGGAAAATGAGAATGCGAAGTCACTTAATTTTTGCCTTGTCTTCTAATTGTGAGTTGTGCATTTTTACCAATGCAGTCCTTGCTTATCGAGCACGAACAGTATTTTCTAGCTGCGGCATGCTCCAGTCATGGTTCATCAAATGCAATTTATGCATCAGCATTCTCTTCGAACAAAGCAAGCAGTATCAGAGTATTTACTGGAACAATGGTAACTATCATTTCATGAGACTTGTTCAGTTATATGTATGGTTTTACTCGGGGTCACCATGTAAAATATGTTTCTCAAAGTGGATTCTCTTCAGTCACAACTGAAAGCCATTGCCTAAGGGTTTCATCTTTGCTGGGGATGACCTGGTACTGGGGTTTGCAAAATGAGGTTCTGGGACCAGGAGTACCCCCCTGGGAATTTGTTCCAAATTCACATTCTCACATGCATACATAACCCACACCCTGAATCAGAAGCTGGATGGAGGATCACAGAGGAATCCAGATTGTTCTGGTCTACACTCACATTGGGCACCAAGGTCAAGTTCATCAGAGGACCGGTTGCAATCACCAGGGAGGCATTAGAACCAAGGAGGACATGGCAGCATGAAATCAAGTTGCAACTCTTGATAAATGGTGAGGCTCAGAAGTCCACACACTATTTCTTTTAGTTCCCACAGTACTACTGCTCTCACTTTACAAACAGGAAGTTGAGGGAGATGAAGTTCTTTGCCTAGGGTCACACTGCTAGTAACTGCTCAAGCCCAGATGTGAACCCAGGTGTGCTAGAGAAAATTAAAAGGAAGGTGAATTAATAAAAGATTCTCTCAAAGCAAAATCCACTGCCTTGGTCAGTCCTTTTATGATATCATGCAGGTCCCTGAACCCTGGTCCAGAAAATGAGTTTCAGAGAAATTTCCATAAATTAATAGTCCTTTCTCCCAGAATGTTCCTGCAAATCACCAACCAGTACATTAGAGATGTGTCATGGGTGCTCACTATTTTAAAAATCTTGAGCTTTTTATTTTTCATCGAGTTTCTATGGGCAAATATATGGGATTCTCATGTGGGTATGCTCTTAAAAGGAAGCATTCATTTGACTATTCCTCATCAGGGCTCTTAAGAAAAGGAACGTGTGACCAGATGGGAATCAGAGCAGCTGGGGAAAGAGTTTGAGCAATATCCTGGATTCCTGTAAAGCCACTGCTCTCCTGGGCAATCCTTATCCATTCTGCCAAAAAGATGGAGCTTTCCCCCCAGAAAACTCTGTAAACGCTGAAAAGGCTTAGTGGGAACTTGCCACCAGGTAAGAAGGCAACCTCAGCCTCAGCCCTGAATTTTCCAAGTTTTAGTTATTCACATGCCCCTTTTATTATCTACTTTACTTCTTGTTAGGAATCAACTTATTTTGCAACAAAGCTTTTTATCATTAGAACTTAAATGGAAGATGAATATTGTTCTCGGAAGTAGAAGAAAGCTTTCATAAACAAATATATTGAGAACAACTGATTTTTGTAGTTTGTCAAGGATTTAAAGCCTGAAGGCTCTCTTTCTCCCACCCCACCCCCTTTTCTCCCTTTCCCACTTCTCTCCCCCTCCCTCTCTCTCAACACAAAGAAAACCTATGAGAAAGGAGTTAAAGGTAGAACAGTACTGGGGCACCTGGCTGGCTCAGTCTGTAGAGCAAGCGACTCTCAGTGTCATGAGTTTGAGCCCCACATTAAGGGTAGACGTGACTTTAAAAAAAAAAAAAAAGGAAAGGAAAGGAAAGATAGAATAATAGAATAACACCAAATCAAAACTTTCATCTTGAGTAATAAGAAGTGATCGAAAAACAATAAGTAAGGAACCAAGAGGGGATATGTGGGAACTCTGTACTTTCTGCTCAGTGTCTCTCAAACCCCAAACTGTTCTAAAAAATAAAGCCTATTAATTTCGTAAGTGTGCACATAAAAATGAAATAAAGAGCTTTACACTGAAAAAGAAAAAAAGGCGGATTAACATTTACCCCATGTGAGTCAAGGTTATGTAATGCTGCATTCCCCATACTATCCCCAATCATCAGAAATTATTACCTAAAATTACCTCTTCCAGTAACATTGGTTGGTCCATGGCCCACATTTTGTAAAACACTGTTTAGTCAAAGTCTGACTGTATGAAAAAATAAGGAAGAGTATTCAGTTGGGTGGTTTCCTACTGATTGCAGAAGGAGGTCCGAATCATTCACCTTTCTGCCAAAGCCCTTCATGAGCTTGTCCTCATGGTCATCTCTGCTCTTCTCCCATTGCCCACGCATCTCAGACATTATGTCAAACTCTGTGCAAGATCTTCCCGCATCTGGAATTTCCTTCCCGTCGTCTTTGCCTGTCAAATCTTATTCAAGATCACCCTGCAAAGCCATCATTCCTTTGTGTTGGCCCACATAGTCACGCAAAGCCTCCCTTGACTATCCTTCTCTCGTATGTCTACAGAGCTGTGTGTGCCCAACCGTTAGAACTGCCATCTTTTTGTCAGGTGTGGTGGATTTTTATGTCTGCCTAGGGTTACCATCTAAAATACATAGCAC